GAATGTCCCCGTGAGCAGTTTACTGCGCTGCCATTCGTTTACTGGAGGCTCACCTTCACCTGCGGGTCCGGCGATCGCAGATTCTTTTAGACGCCAGTGTTGCCTGACACGCAGGGGGTCGTAGCCGAGCTCTCTCAGGTCTTGCGCCACTTTTCCCTCGGTGAATCCTCTCTGGAGTCCCATGATTGCCACTCGGAGGGTCTTTTCATGCCCTTCACGCGGTGGCGGATGTGAGAAAAGAAATATGTTATGCAATTTAGCATATTTCTCCGCCTCTAAGTAGGCTACCTTGTCGGTTGTTTGGACTGCGTAGACAATACGCTTCCCCCGCGTTTTGGCTCGGCCAATTGTGGCCTTTTTGCCTGTTGCGACGCCCAGCGCACGACCGTGGGCGAGCACAGCATCGGGGGAGATCCTGAGCCTTATATAGTATGGCTTTTTCGGCGGCCGTGAGGCGACCGCCGCTTGGAGCTCCCGTGTTTCGAGTGGGGCGTGCCCGTACGCCTCCGTCGGAGAATTAGCGTTGCGGAGCCGGCCGCGCTGGTTGACAGGGACGGTTTGCCAGCCGCCATCTGAGCCCTCGCCGTCGTGGGTTTGGGAGGGATGGGACTGGGCGGTGGAGTCGTTACCTGCCAGGGATTTCCGTCGGGCGCCAGGGGGTGGTTCCGCTCTGGCCCGCGTACGGAGGTGCCGACGCTTCTTCTTGGGCGTGGGGGAGGTCGTCGCCCTCGCCGCGGAGATCCTGGGACCATCCCGGGGCGTGTCCGTCTGGGGTGGGGCCAGGACCTACAACTTCGGCTGGAGCAGCGACCTTCGGCTTTCGCCGACGGTTGCGGCTCCTGCCTCTGGAGATGGTGGTCGCGGGGCCGGCGCCCGCTTCGGTGAACGGCAGTCGGCCGGTTTCGCCTTCCCCGCTGCTCCTTTGCGAGGAGGGGGAGGTCGCGGGTGGCCCGCTGGAGGATGGAGGGCCCACCGGGCCGCTGTCATCTGGGTCTGCGGGTGCCGGCAGCTCGGGCTGTGCAGCGGGGGAGGGGAGCGTTGCACTCTCCTCCGCTGGGTTGCCGCTGGTTACGCCGCAGGTCCTTGAGTCCTTGAGGTGGCGTTGCGAACGAGTCGTCCGTGGATTGTTGTGAGGCTGGGGAGTGCGCTTCGAATGCGCGCACCCTTTCCAGCACTGAGGGCGAAGGTCGTGGCTCCGGCGTGGCGCTGGAAGTAGCCTGGGCGGAAGGCCCGCCGCATTCCTTCCAGAAGCTCCACAGCTCCGCTTCGCGTGCCCGTGCGAAGGCGAGTACCACCTCCCAGGGGACCCTTTTCGGTTCCTCCCATTCATTACCCTCTATGATGCAGGCTGCGGGGGTGGAGGAGAAGGAGCTTCATGTGTCTCCACACACCTTCTGCAGGCGCAGAGTAGGGACTCGCCGTGGAGTCGAGCCCATATCGATGGCGGAGGGAGCAGTCGCTGCAACTTCCACCGTGTTGTATTCGGCCGATGGCCGAGGAAGCAGCGGCGGCGGTGGCGGCGGAGCTGCGGCGGCAATGGTGGCGGCGGGCACTACCGCGTCGTTCGCAGGGCCGGCGCCGGTGAAGGGCAGCGGCAGAGGCGTGGGCGGCGGCGGCTCCGATGTTTTCGCCATGACTTTGTTGCCGAGGTACCTGCGCGCCCCCTTGCTCAGGCGAAACGGCGGGCGAAAGGCGCAGGCCCGGGTCTATGCGCGCTGGCGTTCGGGTCGGCCAGACGAGCGGAGCGGCAGGGGCACATCTTCGACCGCTCGTCGCGAAGTGATCTGGGCCTATTCTTAGAATTTTGTATTTAAGGTTAAAGTGAATTCAAAGTTCTCTTCAAAAGGGAATTGTAAATTTATTTTGTAGATAGTGGAAGGAATCAATGTTAGGAGTATTGTTATTCTGAAGAACTAGTATTGTTACTTGTACTTATTTGACAATATGAATGGCAAAATTAGTACAGGTAACTATTATCATTAGTTAGTTATGCATTAATAGTAATAAATCCATTTCCCCCCCAACTTTCTGAATGTTTACAGGTGGGTGTGAAGTCTCTTGAAGCAATTATAAAAATCAAGAAGCTCTAACCACATCGAAGAAGACCCCTAGAATGACCCAACCAGGTACTATATTGACAATTTTACAAATGATAGAATTTTCAATATAATCTATTGTAGTTTGGTGCAGAATCCTTGAGAATATTTAATTACTTTGTTATTGTAGAATTTTATTAATCTGTACAGTGATCAATTGGTTTTGTAGTATTTTATGTGAAGTACCATGAATTGTATTTTATGTAGGTATTTCTATATGAAACCTGTTATTCAGAGATTGCGGGTGATGATACTGGTATGTTTAATTTTTAAGGCTCTCATTATCAATCTTCCTTGAAGCATATAGTAAAGAACATTGGTTTTATTTGAGGGAAGGAAGACATATATGACCATGACAATAAGAGTGAAACAATACTTTTTGAAAGATAGTATTTCCTAAGGAATTGTATTAGAGACTCAAACAAGCACCAACACACCAAATATTGTAGTTTTTTTAAATGAAACATGGCTATATTTATGAATGATAATTTCTTATATTTTTTTTAACATTAATACAGTTTGTTTTTATAGCCTGTTTGTAACGGTTTGTCACTAGCTTTTGTTTGTAGCTTGGTTTTGGGCATACATTTCTCTCCCCAAATCCTACATGCATTTCAATATTTTCTTTGACATAATACACTAATTTTAATAGAGGAAATAAACATTGTCTTACCTTGAACTTTTTCACAATCCCCATCAGCACTGCAAGTGTGTGTTTAAGTGGGGTAATAAATATATTAATATTGAAAAACAAACTGGTTTTAGAAAAGGAAGGTAAACTACTGACAATGTATTTGTTCTACTGCAAGCCATGGAGAAACAAAGAGAATTCAATTTACAAACACATGGCATTTATTGATTTCGTTTAGAAAATAGTGTACATTTCCTGCTAACAATTCCTATCTATTATACAAAGAGTTACGTACATAGTTTCCAAGACAAACAGTTAAGAAGACTTTATATGGGTAAAAAACGCCTTCAATTTGGTACATTATTATGTATATACTAGTGAAACTATAACTTCATTTACATTGCCAAGGCAGATTTCTATTCTTTTGGTCAGTGAAATATTGGAGTCCTGCAGCTTGGATGTACAGGAAAATATCCATATTATGTGTTAAAAGATGAGATGGGTTGATCCGGAGTTTAGGGTGGCACCGGTTCCGTTGGTTCACTGATTCGGTTCACTGTTTCTCGTGATTCACTAGAAGAATAATTTTGCTGGCACTTCACACCGCTCCGGCGGCAACTGCGCAGTTTGAATTGTGAAGGCTTTCTTGAAAGGTGCTTTCTTATAAAAGTGAATTGGTAATTATGATTTGGATGGACTCGAGGATGTTTATAGTGAACGCGAGGGCCGAAGGCCCGAGCCTCGCCGTGACTCGCCGTGAGCGAAGCGAGAAAACTTGCCTTTGAAACTAAATTTGCATTACAATGCGGCGGGAACAAAGTGATTGAAGTGAACAGCGCAACTATAATTTCGTGAATCACGAGAAATAGTGAACCGAATCAATGAACCAAAGGAACCCGTGCCACCCTAAGCTCATAGAGGAGAGAAACAAGAGCGCATAGAGTAGAGATTACAACAGTCACGTGACAGACCTTGAAGTCATAACGTCTTACCTTAGGCCTAAGGTACGACCTTATACCGTCATAAATAGTGCACGCCTGTGGGAGTCTCTACGGGCACCTTACAGGCGGCAAAATGGCCGCCTAAAACTAGGAAAAGTTGTTTTTACCAACTAATAAACCAATTCTCGTATGTAAGGCAGTTACAATTATTCCTTACGAACTCCACAACGCTGGCAAAAATTAACGGGATATGTTGAAGAGGTGACAGGAAAGAAATTCGCGAAAAAGTTCAAATCATATCTTCGTGATATGATTTATTGTTATGTCTTATGCTCATAACGAACGCTTTTTTAAGGTGCTTCCTACATTTTTAAGAAAAGCAGATTCAAAATCTAAAACTCCATGCACAATGTGTATTTGCCTACACTCTTTGATATATTATGCAATTTCTCTGTTCAACGCTTGAAATGCTTCCTTTGTTATAATGCATAACGCAATGTCGCAATTGCTAAAACTCATATGAACGTTGTTCATTACGACCTTATGAAGGCGTTAGTCACGTGATCAATAGAGTTTAAGGATATCTCCTTACGCATGGCGCTAAAACTCCCTATTATATCTCTACTCTATGCCTAAGCTCCGGACATACCGTAAATTTGCATTCCGACAATATATTAATTGTCCAAATGCAAAGCAAGTTGCTCAATAACACACAATATCGCATCACTCAGAATTACAAAATATTTCCTATTAGATATTGAATTGTTTTTAATTATTAAGAAAATGTTTTCATTATTGTGTGTTCAGTCATGACATTTTTTTAAAACAATGTGATGCCATACTAAATTGAGGGACATGAACGGTGATTAACACATTCAAATAATTATCACTTCTCAATCACTGGCAAACACATACAACGAATTCAAAATTCGGAGCCGTTGGGGGTCAGTTTCGAGTTTTTGCTCAGAGCTATCGTCAGGTGGCAGCACTTTTGGAAGGCAGATTTTCTATTTTTCTTATTAGTTTGCAAAAGTCGATATAGAGCGCTCCACAAGAATGGGCAGTAATGGCGGGCCTATCATAAATCATCAGCTCCTCCACAACATCGCTGAAATAAGGAATTTTCCCAGCCTAAAAAGTGATAGACCCGTGCCCTCCACTCTAACTGCCAGAGAGTATATTTGGAACCGCGTTTCTTCAATCCATCGTTCAAGAAAAGTTGCGTAAGTAATTTCCAACACCATCGATGCATTTATAATTTTTTCTCCGTTTCCATTTGAAGCGGTTACTATGTGTCCCTCGCATGTGCTTTTTTGTTACAAGTAATCTTGGGATATTGGGGTTTAAAATAATTTATTTAAGTTCCTAATTTGGGCTTAAACTAGCCAAAATGTATAATTTGTTAAATACGTGGTATTGTTAATTATATTACTTGCAACGAACTTTTGTACTTTTTATTTTACTTCAAGGCTTGATTAATACATGAAAAAAGAATGCATACCCTACCAAATGCTAAAACATAGGATTTCTTGACTCTGAAACATTTTATGTTATACAATCATCTTCCTATTTAACACTTATTGTTAATGTTGCAGTGAATAAATTTTCTTCTTTTCATACAAATGGTTTCAATCTTTTTATCATAAAATAAAAATTGTAGAATAATCCATGATTTTTATTTTACATCTCCATTTATATAGACTTCAACTTATGCGAGATATTTTGCCCAGGAATGCCTTCAGATTTACTTTCCACAGCATGAATTTTACTGATAAGACATGTGAGCTTTAACAAATTTGAATAGGCATTTTTAGGGATTATGAATCGTAATATTAAAAGGTGTTCACAGTGAATTTTAACCCTAGAAATCTAATGTTGTAATTTTCAAAATTTGCATGAATTTGTTTTAATCCCCTTTGAAGCTCTCTAATTGAGCTACTATCTTTATGCTAATAAAGTAAAGATTAATAGTAATAGGCTTTTATTGTCTCCTTGAAGCATTTATAGCTAGTATCTAGTAAATTAAATATTTGAATTTTATTACAGATTGACTTGCAAATAGATGTTTAGAACACTAATGTAAGCTTACGATATAGATTGCAACTGAATATTCAACCATTGTTAACTTTTAATACAGTTCCTTTCGTTTAGTGGACATGCTATCATTTGTATTTTTTTTTCTGCAGTATCATGTAAGTTTTTGAAAATTGTTTCAGTGTTTCCACATGGCTGATCCTACCTTGTGCGTGAGTTGGAAAGACCATGCCAATGAAGTTGCTAGAGGATGGAAGACTATACTAGAGAACAATTCTTTTGTGGATTGCACAATAGCTGCTGAAGGGAAAAGTCTGAAGGCTCATAGACTGATTTTGTCTGCATGTAGTCCATACTTCCATGTAAGAAGAATTTTATTAAATCATTATTGTTGTTTTTTATTCTGTTATTCATTTTTTTGTAGAGGTGAGATTTATGGATGTGTGTGCAGCCTATAATGAGGGAGGGGGGAGGATAACTACATTCCTTTGCCATTTAACTTTTTCATTTACATATGATATGAATAAAATTACTGCAATAGAAATGAAATCATAACTGTATGGATACAATTAATAAATATAATTGATTGTATTCTAAATATATTCAAAATTGCCAGATAGCTTGAAGAGCCTCCCGTTTGAAGGCCTTATGAAAATGTTCTAGATCAAGGTTGTCCAACTGGTGACCTGTGGGGCCATTTATTGTGATCAGCGAAAAGTTATTAGCCAACAGTGATAGCCCCTTTTTATCCATGACGGGTGAAAACATTGCACCTAGTGCACATGCCCTAGTGAGTTCAACACCCCCTTTAATTTAAAAATTGTTTAAATAGATTTTAGATTTTTTTCTAGTAAATTCAAAAACTCAAAATCATCCCAGTATGTTTCACTTCATTGTGCATATTAAGGCCTAATATAAAGCATGGTTGAATCCTCCCTCTCACCTTATTAAGAGCAGCCAGGCAAAGTGCCAAGATAAATAATATGGGGAAGTCAGATGTGGAGCTACTAAGAAATGCAAACACAGCCTGCAACCAAATCAAAGATTTTAATTCTCCTTTAAGAACTTGCAAGTTGGACACCTCTGTCCTAGACTGTTGGGTTAAAACTAGTGGTGCTACAGAATGGCACAGACTTTCTAGAATTTTTTTATATTTTCTTTGGTCTGGCTAATTCGGACTTGCCACATACTCTTGCCAGATGCCATCTATCGCCGCCCAAAGTACATTGTTTTGAAATTTTTTTGATTTGTCGAATGGATATATTACTTGAAAAATATTTTAGATAAGTAAAACTCGTCCTATTTGAAAATTTTCGTTGAAAAATTTGGAATTGTTTTTAAGAAAATAACAGTTAAGCAACACTGAATGCGAAATTTGAAGCTCTTGTTTCACAGAAAACTTTCAAGTAAAAAGAAAAGGTAATTTAAATTCATTTAAATCATTTTACTTACAGATACAAAAATGTATACTAATAGCTGGTAAAGTACATTTTAACGGATTGCTTGAGAAGTGTTACATTTGTGTTATTTTTGAAAAAACAAAGGAATACCGCAAAATTAATGTCATCTTAAACAGTGCAATTATCACTAGCCATATGAAAAATTTGAAGAAAAAATTTGGCGCAGTTTCTGAGAGAAATTCATTGCCGAGTGTTTTGGAAAGTGCAGATTTCTTATTTTTTTCACAGAAAACTTTTTAGTTTGTCTTGGGGGCTTTATGTAAAGTACTCCCAAAAATCAATGAATGTTTTTCTAAATTGCAGAGCTTTGACTCAGACCAGTTTGAATTGCATTTATTAAGTATGAAAGAATTGTATGCATAGTTTAGACACTAGTATTCTTTTCATACACCAGATGTTTTGAAAAAAATAAATAAATAAATGAAAACACTTTTTTGGTATCAGGGGACCACAAAATGTATTTCCGTTGAAATATCGAATTTGATTTTCTGCAGCATTACACTTCCGCTGTACTTTGTATATTACTCTGTATATACATATGTATATGAGAAAATAAAAAGGAAATAAACCATTTTGTAGTAAGGTGTGGGGTTCTTCAAAAAAATGTTCAAGGGGTGTCAGGGTCAAGGTGTCAGGCCTTGGGCCCCTAGTGAACACATTTATGTTTTGTAAATTCTTCAAGTACCAATATCAGAGATTCTTAATCTTTTTTTTGCGTTGGCCCGTTTTTAAAAAAATCATTGATTGCCTTGACATTTTTCTATAATAATACAGAAAACAAAATAATCCTAAAGCAAATAAGAACAGGTATTATTATTATTATTATTATTATTATTATTATTATTATTATTATTATTATTATTATTATTATCCTGTTAAATTCCTATTAGAGCAGGACCTCTTGCACGGGGCAAAGAGGCTTACATTAGAAAGTTGGTCCTTGAGGTGCCAACTCAGGGACTTTACATGGATAACGCGTTAAACTGTTTTTGTTGGATTTCTACAATTTTTAGCACACATATTACATATTGCTGGATAACAATTAATCTAAGAACATGGACAAATATTTTGTAAAAAGGCTTTCTTAAGAATATGTTTTACGTTGTTTTTGCTATGATAATTTTAAATTTTTAGAAATATAAATAATAACGGTATTAGATAATAATGGTAATAATTTTTGAATCTCCAGAAAACCTCATTTAAATTGTAATCAATATGATCTTGATTGTACCAATCAGGTGCCGGTGCATTTTTATCAATTAACCCCCCCTCTCCCCTTTTTTTTTTTTTTTTGGCCCCCTTTACAATTGCATCAACACCCATGGGGTTGATACTGACCCTGTTGGAGAGAATGATCTATGTGCCATGTTGTACTGTGTGATCTAAGAAACCATTGTATTAAGAAAAGTACAAAATCCTGTTTGGATCTCAACCTAACCTTGGCATAGCCATTCTGGTCATGGGTGCTACTGGATGGACGAGAGAAGAGTAAACATAGCCATACATTTTTTGATATACAAATTTGCTGAAAATTATGCATTTGCCTGACTCATGATTGTTTTAGTTAAACTTTATTGACATTGATTCAACTAGCATTGTTCAAAGAATGTACTTTAGAATTGTAGTTTGTATAAAATCAATTAGATCAAAATAATAAATGTTCTTAGTATTGCCTTAGAACCTGTTTTTGATTATTGCAAGGAAAATGGAAATTTCAACCTGAAATTTGGAGAATTTGCATATTTTAAATGTGCTATAGCCCCAATTGTGTATTATAATGAATAGCTTTAATTTTTCATGTTTATTTTATGTTCCTTTTTGACAGTTTCAAAGAAGAAATGCTCTTCCGTTCATCACTTTTGTTTTGTCTTTTTATTAGATGCTGTTCAGCGAGGAAAGCGAGAAACATCCAATTGTTATTCTCAGAGATACGTCATTTTACATGCTTCAAACTCTGATTGATTTTGTGTATAATGGAAAAGTAGAGATTCCAGCTGGTCAGTTGGAAACCTTTTCAGAACTTGCAGTGTCCTTGCAGATTAAAGGCCTTAATAATCCTCTTCATAAAGATGTAAGTAAATATTAAAAATGTCAATGTGATTCATTATTTTATAACTGCTGATAGTAAAAAATGTTTTTATGACTTGTTTGCTTTTTGTAGAAGACAATTAATATTCCTGGCAATGCTGCTGGAGAAATTCATCAATGTTCATCCAGGTTTATTCGAGTCACCAGTAGAGTTGAAAATTCATTGCCAAGTCGTGAAGATAGCTTCTCAATTTCTTCCCGACAATGTCATTTTCGTTCTTCACAAGTCAACCCAAACAATACGTGGAATGTCACTCCTTTTCTGTTTGAAGGATGCAATGACTCTGCTGAAGTGGTACAATCAAGAGCAGCAATGATGGCTGTGCAAAATCATCAAAGTTATCCTGTGCATTACAATCCTGATGTGCTTTTAAACACAGAAACAAGTTTGAAACAACATTTATTTTCTGAAATAAATATATCGGAGACAAGAAATGAAGTATTAGATGATAATCTCGTTGAATTCATGACTGGGAATCCGGAGGATGCAATGAGTCGTGGATGTGCTCTGGCATTTGAAGAAAATAGTGACCAATTTTCCAGTAAGTAAATTTGAGATTTTCAATGTGCACTGCCCTTGTCAAAAAAGTGTCTACAAATTGGTGGTAATGTGCATTTTCACACATTTTACTATTGAAATATTTATGAAGTTATCAATTCTTACCTTTCATAGAAATTCTGATGTTATATATTCATGACGGGGGGGGGAGGGGGAGGAGGAGGAGGAGTGTAATTATTCAATGTTCTTTTCATTGTGGTATTGTGGTTAGTTTGAACAACCTTCCTGAATTTCAGTGGAGGACTTGTTGAATATTTTTCCATGTTTAGAAATTGTTTTAAAAATGTAATCCAGATAGAAGTTGCATATTCTGAAATAAAATTGGTCCTTTTTCACAGTCTCTGCAGTCCTAAAAAGTGTTCTGAGCCTTACTTTGGACTCTAATCTTTTGGTAGGGTACATTTAAAACTACATTTATAGTGGAAGCTATTCAAGGGGAATTATTTAAAATTATAATTTCCAATGCACCTTGAAATTGAAGTAAAGCAATGCAACCTCTCTGTGTGAGTGTTGTGTATAGTTTCATTAGGTACCCAGGAACCATGAAAAATACTAATATATCATTGTGTTATTCTGGCTATTTTTATACTACACATACACACTGAATTTACATGTTCATACACAGCAGGCCTCATGTATACAAGAATTTTCCTAACGATGGGATAAAGTGACAGATTGGAAAAAACAAGTGAACATCACGTTACTTCAGAGAAGTATCCCTCCGCCGCGTCAGCTGTTTAGTTA